CCAGGGGGCCTTACATAAGGCCTCATCTTATATAACCACCAGGGGGCTTTACATAAGGCCATGATTTATTACCTTGCAAGTGTCCCATCGTGACCCCTACCTTCCCATGGAACCCTCCACTAGGTTGGTGTAAGGATGATACATCCCCACAGTTGCCTCCCGCCCAGAAGGGGTAATATTGAAAACACAATGAGTGATGCTTTCCAGAAACAGCTGTCCCAATCCATCATGAGTTTTTTGTGGACTTTTAGGTTTGTGGATTAGTCCAGTGTGTATGAGGAAGGTTCTATTGCAGGTGACAAGTCAGAAAGCAGCCAGAGCCAACTGGTTTCATTTGTTTAACAGTGGGCGTTTCCTTTACCTGTCGGACAAAATTGGACTCACCTCCCAGTAGGTGGAGCTACAAAACCTTATAACTCAAAGGCACGATTTCTTTTTCAAGAAGAGTTTGGACTGGATCAGGAGTCACAGAGGTTAGTACTGATCTTTAGAAATGTACAGGGAATTGACCAAACTGTTTGAGAGTAACTTCAGTGAATGGGTCTAATGGATTAAATATTAATAGAATTTTTGTGCTGACTTTCTGTATGATAAGGTTGATGTGCATTAAAGTAGTTCAGGTGTTGTAGCACAGGGAGAAAAGGGGAATCCAGACATCAGAAGTGTTAAGAGGAGAAAGTTAAAAAAAATGATTTCAGGGAGGCTCAAGACACGGCATTTCTGAGGGCAAAGTGAACACTGGGCATTTGTTGCTAACACCATTTCAGCTCCATTGTTGCCATGGCATTAGCTACTATGGGAGAGCTAGCATAAACTAGGTGCTGCCAGCATTTTTTCCACTAAATCAGGTAGACCTGCTCTGAGCAGAGTGAAATGACAGTGCTAAAAATGCTGGTGATTGCCTATAGCTCTATCTACACTAGCGCTCACACTGTTGCTCCTGCTGGTGGATCCTGAACTGGTGTTAGCCATGATAGAAACATAGGGCTAGAAGGGACCTCAAGAGGTCATCTAGTCCATCCTCCACCCTGCCAGGAGGCAGGATTAAGAATTCCTAGGCCATCCCTGACAGGTGTTTGTCTAACCTGTTCTTAAAAACCTCCAAGGCCAGGGATTCCTCACCTCCCTCGGTAACCTGTTCCAGTGCTTAATTATCCTTAGATATTAGGAAAAACTTTCTACATGTAATCTAAATCTCCTTTGCTGCAAATTAAATTGATTACTTCTTCAGAGCTGGGACATTTTTCTGAAAAGAGAGGCTAGCATGGATACAGTTTGGGAGCACAAGCTGAGGGAGGGGAAGGAGCGAGGGAGAGAGGCAGCAATAACAGGAATATAAACTTGGAATGAAGAAAGTATTTTCACTGGACTCTCCTTGCTGCTGCATAAGCTGGCTGACAGAGCAGAGGCGGTAAGGAGATAATCTAAAATGATCAAATAAAAAAGAACTGAACTCCTCTATAACAAATACCATAACACCTTCCTGAGGACAGAGGAGGCAGTTGGAGCTGGTGAAAAAGATCTTTTCATTGAATGCAGAAGGTAGGACAATATCATTTTGCCTTAGACTTTCTTTTCTGCAACTACAACAAAATAGCTACCTGAGAAAATGTATCTAAGGAGGGTCTCTTCTAAGTCTTTACTGTTTGAGTTCCTTTATTTATAAAACAGGGAAAAGTCTAGCTTGGTGAATAGCTGAAGGTTTGCCAAAGCATACAGAACACACCACAGCTTTCTGGTTAGAATAAAGCATTTTGTGGGGGAGTTTTTCTGTAACTGGACTCTGAATCTTAATTTATTCTGGTCATTCTCTGATGTGTGGCAACACGCTAAAGCACACTATGTTTATATAACATGCTGCAAGTATCAGACCTCTTGAGGTGAAGGCAAAATTATTAGAGAAAATGCTGAAGGAACAGTGTTATATTTATAGTATTTTAATTTCCTCCTCACTACTACACTTAATGAAAACACAGGGTCAGTTGGTACAAATCATTATCGTTCCCTTGACTTCACTGGCTGAGGATCGGTCCCACAATTCTGATTTTTGTTACATTTAAGAGTTTTACACTTCATAATTATTGACAGAAATGTGTTACCAATAGAAGTGATGAAAAATATCATAATAGCTTAATGAGCACTAGAAATGACTAATTAATTCTACTACTATGCACTAGCATGCTGTTACATGCATGTTCTATTTTTAAATGGCACTTACTGGGAGATAATGTGGTCCAGTGGTTGGACTCTGGATTAGGAATTTAGATAAATTTATGGATTATTTTGTTTAGATAAATTTATGGAGGATAGGTCCCTGCTTCCACCTGCTAATCCAAGAGGGTCAGGGATGCAACCCCATGTTCTGGGTATCCCTAGCCTCTGATTGCCAGAAGCTGGGACTGGGCAACAGAGGATGGATCATTCCCTGATTGCCTGTTCTGTTCATTCCCTCTAAAGCACCTGGCATTGACCACTGTTGGAAGATAGGATATGGGGTTAGATGGACCATTCGTCAGATCCATTATGACCATTCTTATCTGCCTATGTCATTGATTTGCTGCGTGGTCTTGGGAAAGGCCCATACATACCTCAGTTCCCCTCTATGTAAAAGGGTCATAATGATATTTGGTCTCATCTGTACAGTATTTTGAGTTTCTCAGTTATAAAGCACTCTACTAATTAGGACTGAAATATTTTGGGCTTTAAAATTGTCACAGGGAGTTACATTTTAGTCATTTTAATGCAAGGGTTCTCAAACTTTTCAGTATGCGCCATATTTTACCGGGGTGTATTGCACGCACACATACACACCCTTCCCATTTGTAACTGCATAACATTCCAGGTGCAAGGACAGCAATTGCTTGCATGAAAAAGTAATACTCGAAAGGTATTTCATGTGTATTTAGCATTGTTATCACATGGATTAGCAGGTGCAAACAAGAAGAAGAGTCAGCACAGACTGCAGTTTGAGAGCAGCCGTTTGAATGAATTGCAGATAACTATCAGCATAGGTGGCAAATTCATAAAAAAGTGAGGCTTTCACATACCATGGATAACACTTCATCTGTTTTTTTTAAATGAAGACCAGATTATCAAAGGCCCTGAGCAGCAAAGCAACTCCCACTAACTGATTAATGACACAGTAACTTGTCCCTTGAGATTAGGAGCTAAAAGAAGATTGAAGGTCAAGCAAGTTCCACAATGGCACTTTCAGAGAAGCTTCTCCAATCATCAGGCCTTTAACGTTTATATTTATACTCTTTGGAATCACCTTTATTTCCCCTCAACCTATAGTAAATCCTTTCTGCTGGTGGATATTATAGTTTGCAAAAAGAACATATAGGTGCGCTCCCAGAGTCCAGCATTGCAACAGCTTCTAGTGCAATTGCGCAATTTATTCGATTTGCTCTTTAGTCCAGTCTCCCGATATTTCATGTTTCATTGCTTAATCTGAACTTCAGAGTTTTAGTCTCTTCCTTTTGTTGACTTTAAAGCAACAGTGTTGACATTCAAGTGTTTTGTATGATTAGGATCTTTTAGCAGAACTCTTCACAGCTGTTAGGGAATGAATAAAACTGAATCCAGTGCTCTTTGTGGAGCCCTTATCCACTTCTGATTTGGGATTGGACAAAATCTTACAAGACTTGCTATGTTCCTGATATTGGCCCCAAATGGCAAAAATCTCACAAAAAGCAGTTGATCTCATGGCATTTCAGTCCATTTAAATGAGTTTCTCTCCATGAGACAACAGGAGCAGCATTAGGGCAGGGAGCCAGCTAGCTTCCCTTTGGGGTGGGTGGAGGGGACAACCAACACAGGGAAAGAGAGAAGGGAACACAAGAAAGAAGAAGAAAAGGTTCCCTAACCTGAGATGTTTTAGGCCTTTATTTCAGCATCTATGGTAATGCAACTCCTTCCCCACAATATTACCAGGTGCTTTTCTAAGCCTGTAGTTCTAGCATTTAGCTACAAATCCCTCCATCAGTGTGTGCCTTTCTGAGCCTTTTGCTCCAGCATTGAGAGAGAATCATAGAATCATAGAATATCAGGGTTGGAAGGGACCTCAGGAGGTCATCTAGTCCAACCCCCTGCTCAAAGCAGGACCAATTCCCAACTAAATCATCCCAGCCAGGCCTTTGTCAAGCCGGGCCTTAAAAACCTCCAAGGAAGGAGATTCCACCACCTCCCTAGGTAACACATTCCAGTGCTTCACCACCCTCCTAGTGAAATAGTGTTTCCTAATATCCAACCTAGACCTCCCCCACTGCAACTTGAGACCATTGCTCCTTGTTCTGTCATCTGCTACCACTGAGAACTGCCAAGCTCCATCCTCTTTGGAACCCCCCTTCAGGTAGTTGAAAGCAGCTATCAGATCCCCCCTCATTCTTCTCTTCTGGAGACTAAACAATCCCAGTTCCCTCAGCCTCTCCTCATAAGTCATGTGCTCCAGACCCCTAATCATTTTTGTTGCCCTCCGCTGGACTCTTTCCAATATTTCCACATCCTTCTTGTATTGTGGGGCCCAAAACTGGACACAGTACTCCAGATGAGGCCTCACCAATGTCGAATAAAGGGGAATGATCACGTTCCTCGATCTGCTGGCAATGCTCCTACTTATACAGCCCAAAATGCCGTTAGCCTTCTTGGCAACAAGAGCACACTGTTGACTCATATCCAGCTTCTCGTCCACTGTGACCCCTAGGTCCTTTTCTGCAGAACTGCTACCTAGCCATTCGGTCCCTAGTCTGTAGCAGTGCAGAAGAATTCCAGCATTCTGAGAAAAGCTACTGTTCCTGTCTTGTCCTTGGTGTTTTGTTTTGTTTTGTTTGTTTTATAGCCAGCATCCAGCATTATTATTATTTTTTATTTGTATAATTGTAGCAAGTAGGAGCCCTAGTGTCAGGTGCTTGAGAAATTCAGCTATATTAAATACAATGAGCAGGGAGACTTGAGAATGAAGTGTTGACTTCCTGAGTCACAGACACTGATCTCTCTCATGTTGATTCTTTGAAATCTTTTCCTTTATTTAATTTAACAGGAAGCCAGACACTTGGAAGCATGGCTGGGAAACCCAAACTGTACTATTTCAATGGAAGAGGCCGAATGGAAACAATACGGTGGCTGTTGGCAGCAGCTGGAATCGAGGTTCGTTTCTGTTATATAAAGAAACCAAGTTGGCAATGCATAATTTGGTGGAAATGACTGTTCCATATTGCAAATGTGACCAACTGGAAGTCATTAGTTCAGAACTCACTGCACATAGAATCATAGGACTGAAAGGGACCTCAAGAGGTCATCTAGTCCAGTCTCCTGCACTCAGGGCAGGACTAAGTATTATCTAGACCATCCCTGACAAGTGTTTGTTTAACCTGCTCTTAAAAATCTCCAATGATGGAGATTCCACAACCTCCCTAGGCAATTTATTCCAGTGCTGAAACAACCTTACAGTTAGGAAGTTTTTCTGAATGTGCAACCTAAACGTCTCTTGCTGCAATTTAAGCCCATTGCTTCTTGTCCTATCCTCAGAGGTTAAGAAGAACAATTTTTCTCCCTCCTCCTTGTAACAACCTTTTATTGTTGTTATTCTGTTATTCTGTTACTCTGTTCCCTCTCAGTCTTCTGTTTTTCAGACTAAACAAACCCAATTTTTTCAATCTTCCCTCATAGGTCATATTTTCTAGACCTTTAATCATTTTTGTTGCGCTTCTCTGGACTTTCTCCAATTTGTCCACATCTTTCCTGAAATGCGGTGCCCAGAACTGGACGTATACTAGTGACTATACAGCCAACATGTAAACTTATGACTAGGTGTGTGATCACATCTCCCTTTAGTGGCTTTCCCTGGTGACAATGGACATACTTACAGTTAACGGAGCTGCTCCATTAGGTCAAATAGTAGGGCCCAGGTTCTATACTCACTGACGACCATTGTAGTCAGTGTTCTATATGTTCCCCCCTCTGTTCCCAGGCCACAGAGGATATGGGTCTTTCACAGCTTCACCTGTGAGCCTGGCTCTTTACCTCAAGCCATAAAGATGCGTGCTTCCAACTCTGAAAGTCCCCATTTCAGTGCCTGATATTGGCTAAGATGGAGACCATATGCCTATCATTGTGGGGCTGGGGCCTCTATGCCCTACACAATACTAATATTAGTGAGTATCTTGTGAAACTAATTGCTTTCAACATTAACTCTGGAAGCCATGCCAGAGGGGTATATGGCTGCTCTGACATGCCTGTTGGCAGTCAGCCAGGAAGCCTCTGGGGATTCTTGCCGCTGCACAACCCTTTCTCTTCCCTTGCCACCCATGTGTTATGGCAAAAAAATCATAGAATAGTCCAACAGCTACTGTGTGTGCTTTCCCTCCTCCCCCATGCTTGGCTCTGCTTTCAGCTTACCACGGGGAACTAGACACCCCAGTCGTTGCTTGTCATGAATGCAAGAACATTGTGGCTGCCTCTTGCACAGAAGAAAGTTTGTTTTGCTCTCTGGTCACCTTACACACCTTGGCAGAGCTAGCCACAATCTAACAAAGGCTCCTACACAAAAGGCATTTTAATTAAGCATAATGGGGTAAAGGGAGAACATGACAGAGGTAGGATTTTATCTAAATACAGAATATTTTAAAGTCTTCAACTGCTTTTTATGTGAAAAATTCTAAAAGCAAATAATCGTTAATCATTATTTTCTCAAGAGATTCCTAACCTAACCCATGCAGTAACAATGAGACCCTTTTTCCTTTTTTTACCCATTTGTTTTCCAGTTTGAAGAACAATTCTTTGAAACAAGGGAAGAGCTTTTAAAGTTACGGCAGGGTGAGTTTTTTAATTAGTTTTTTATTAGAACTGTTTGTGGATCCTAATGTGGAATTCTTGAAAATGTAATTGTCTTTTTAAAAGAAAATCTGGACTGGTTCATGAACATGATGAATCATAATTGCACATTGCAGTAAGACCATTTTGTTTCACTCAAATATTGGACGCCAACCTCCACTCTGTTATACCAGTTTTATAACCGTAACATATGTTACTCTATAGCTTGCTTGGTATAGTGTTTTGAGATGGTCAGATTAAAGATGTTGTATAAAAAGTTATTATTTTGGAAAGTTCATATGGAGCATGATAAAAGTTTTCTTAGGGGCCAAATCCTTCAGTGTTCCCCTATTGACCTCAGTGGGAACTTTACCTGAGTAAACTACACAATGCACGGTTTGTCCCTTTCTTTGAATCACCATTAAAGGTTTTATTTTGGAGACTTTATTGGATTTGCAGCAATTCTAAGAAGTTTATTGTTATAATTCAAGCTATTAGTATGTTTACCCTTTCCCACAAGAAATAGCATTCACATTTTACTGGAAACTTCTTTCACTTCACAGTATAAGACAAAAGACCCTCAAATTAAAAAGAAAATAGCAAGTTAGAGGTTTTCTCGACTCCACTGCAATGATAATAGTTTGGGGGAAAAGACTGTAATTTATTTGAGTCATACTTCTCACCTTTCTTTTAAAAGATGGAGCCCTGCTGTTTCAACAAGTGCCCATGGTAGAAATTGATGGAATGAAGATGGTGCAGACTAGAGCCATTCTCAACTACATAGCATGGAAACACAACCTCTATGGGAAGGACGTGAAGGAGAGAGCACTGTACTGTAACAGCACTACCTTTTTCTGATAGCAATAAAAAATAATTATTCTATGTGCAGTACAAGGGGAAAAAAATCCTGATTATTGCTAAATTATATGATGAGCCAGCACATTTCTGTTTACCTCCAACCAAGGTCAACAATACTAAGTAAGGTCTGGAACAATGTTAAATAACTAGATTAGATTAGAGATATGCAAAAAAAGTACATGTGAGTTCATCTTGATTAGCTCATCAGAGGTTATTGCAGTTTTCAAAACTCAGCCAGTCAGATAACAAATGTACTGTAGCTGCAGAGGTCAGTATTTCTCCTAATATCACTCTCCATTTCCAGGAAGACTGCTGGTTTACACAACCCCATTGCTTGTCTCCCACAGGTGCAAGCAACCAGGGCCGGCTCCAGGCACCAGGCACCCAAGCTGGTGCTTGGGGCGGCACCTGGAGGGGGGCGGCGCGGCGCTCCGGCCGCCGGGGAGAGTGGGGCCACAGCCGGGCTCGCCGCCCTCCCCCCGGCGCTCTGGCCGCCCTCCCCCCCCCCGCGCCCTCCCCTCGGCCGCCTGGGGCGGCAAAAAAGCCAGAGCCGGCCCTGCAAGCAACAAACAGTTCTTGCAAGTTAAGAGCCAAGGGAATCCCTGCCCTTTGTCCCCATGAACTGCATATTTAGGGGAAGGATGCTTGTGCAGACAGAGAACTCTCCTTTTGTGCCCCCAAATTCCTCAGATTAATTAGCAAGTGCAAATAAATTGTATTATTGTATGATGGTCTAGTGGCTATAGATACAAATATCACTTATAGCTAAAGTGATGTCCCAACTTAATTCTTAATGGGAAACATTGTGTGTCACTAATATTAGGTCTTGCCCTCTCACTGATTTCACTTAGGTGCCTAAATAGAGATTTGGGTGATTTAGATAGCTATGCTTAACTTTTAGAAGCTAAGTATGAACATATTTGCCCATCTTTAGTACAGATGATTCCAACCATCTCTGAAAAAGGAGGTGATGTCATATATCTATTGGGGTTTTTTGTTGTTGTTGTTTTTTGTTGTTGTTGTTGTTGTTTTTAACAGCAAATACAAATTAGTCAGTGGTAAATCTTCTGGTATTTAGCCTCCTGAGACCCTGGAGTTATTTCACTGCAGGAATCTACATGAATACTAGTTGTTCAAACCAATGTGAACACACTTTGCCTTTCAGGATTGATATGTATGTGGAAGCAACAATGGATCTGAATGAAATCATTATGCATCATCCTCTCCAGCCACCGGAGGCAAAGGCAAAGCATCTTGCCACAATCATTGAGAAGGCCACAACCAGGTACTTCCCTGTATATGAAAAGGTATGTGGCAGTAAGGCAACAATTTACAACCACTGGAGTATTGGTCACTTGATAATATATCCTGGATCTATGCTAGTAAATGCAAATTCAGCCTGTATTGTAGGAGAACAGATATATTTGGAGTGCCCATGGGAGAACTAGTTAAGGCAAGTATAAATTTATGAGCTTGCTTGATGGGATTTTCTTAGCCTCATAATGCAAATGCTGCACAAGAGCCAGGATAATTTTTGTACTCCAAATTTCCAGTGACATCTTTTAGTAAGTCCCTTTAAGAGAAACTTTATGTTTGATGCCAAGGTAGCATCAGCATCTCTTCTGTGCTAGGTGTCTTCCTGAAGTATTCTTGGTACATGGTGCCGTCTGTACAATGTATGTGCTATATAAAGTACATTACAGTTCTGCTTGTAGCACACCCAGTGTGGGGAGCCAAGTGCTAGTTGGGCTTCAAGAACAGACCTGGCATTGGATAACTATGTAAAGCTTCCAACACCAAACTCGCACCTTACTGGGGAGAAAGGAGAGAAGGGTGCGCAATGTGCAGGAATAGGTGAAGGGGTCCAATATATTCTACTATTCACTGAACTGAGAAAGTCGTAGTGGCTTGGGATTCTCTAAGTTTCTTGTGAACCCCCTATAGCTATTTGGAATAACTATAATTTTGCACGGAGCATCAGGAGGCTTCATCAGATGTGCCATGTCTGCACCGCACCATTGATAGTGTTTGGAAACTGCCTTGTGCAAACATTTTAAGATCAATTTTCAGTTGGCACCTGCACACACCTATAGCACACTATACAATATTATTTATAATAACAACAACTATTAAAATAATGTGTCTTTCCACCTGGTCTATAAAATGTTTGTGGGTTTTTTTAAAGGATTATGCTTTGTCTGCACTGGCAGTAAAACTATTAGCTGGAATTGCTTAAGGTCACTTATTTATTTCAAATGGTTTCTGAGCCTGGTCACTCTTGCATTGAGGTGGAGGACCACGGAACGGGACTAGTAAATCCCCAGGCCCAAACCATTTCAGCTGTGATCATAAAAGCTACAGATTTTAAAAACCTCCTACTATCAAAGGGACCAAACCTTCCTGTCACACCCAAAGCTGTATTATTTTGAATAAGGCCTAACACAATGGTGAAATTGAGTTTTCTAATTGTTCAAACAATGCTGTATTTTGTATTGCTTCCTTTCAAGGGTAACTCTTACACAGACCTAGATGTGCTTTTGAAATGTCAGATTAGGCTTAGCTTTATGTATTTATCCAGAGCACAGAATGTCTCATTTATAGCCATAAATTCATTGTCTCCTGTCCTGTAGGCTTTGAAAGACCATGGACAGGATTTTCTTGTTGGCAACCGATTCAGCAGGGCAGATGTACAGCTGCTTGAAACCATTCTAATGGCAGAAGAGTGCAAGCCTGATATACTCTCCAAATTCCCTGTCTTACAGGTAAAAGAATTAACAGCTCTAACAGACAATGAAATGTGTAGGGACAGATCCTCACTGAAGTCAATGGAGCTATGTTGCTTTACACTAGCTGACAATTTGGCTCTTAAACATGTACAAGTGTTACAGATATTGCCTAAATTAAAAACTGTTACTGATCAAATCATGTTATGTAGTATAAGAATATGGGGTCAGATTAATCCTTGAAGCCAATGGAGGTGGAATGAATTTGGCTTGATGATTTAAACAGCATTGAGATAAAGATACAGAGCACCTGATTCTGCCCTCAGTTTTACACCAGAGTAGGTACATGAACATCTGTGGAGCTACTCTTGATTTATATTAGTGTAAACAAAGCAGAATCGAGCCCAAGTAGTGCTTTGCCTTGCAATGAGAAATGAGCCTGAACTAAAACAGCAGATCTGAACCTATGAGAGCTCTGGAAAAAATTGGATCTAGGTCCAAGCTGTGAAGTTTGGATTCATCTCTACCTTTCAAAGCCCTCACCTGAAAAGAAGAGCAACATTTTGGTTTTGAATCTGCTCAAATATGAGAGAAAAATTAGATTTGCAATCAGATCTGAACTTGGTGGATTGCAATATCATAGCCATCCCTCACCTGGTTCTCTTAGAATCAGAATAGAACAGATAACTAGAAATATGGTAATTCTCCTTTGAAGGAACCAGACAGTATTCAGAGAGTTCCTTAAATGGGCCTGAGATACCTGCAGGGCTAGATCATCCCAAGGAGTGCCTACTGGCCTACAAATTACTGTGTGCTTCCTTCTATTCTCAATCCTCCAGCACCAACATTATGCTAACATGGTGCTCAGGAACAGCTCAGATTAAAGGTTTCCACTGCAAGGTTTCCACTAGTGTTTCCACTGCATTTCCTTCCACAGCTTTCCTTTGCCAGCTCCAGCAGCTGCTTTCTCCACTCTCTCATGCAAAATTGCCATATTTGGGTTGCAAACACAGCAAGGGTGGGTCTAAATGCCAACAAAAATATTGATTGAATTAGATTGTAAAATGTATTAAAACATTTATATTAGGATTTGTAACACTTTGTTTTGTTAAAAAAAATAATCTAAGTTTTGGGCTTTACCTATCTGGTGCCACTGGAGCTGGTTGGGAAATATTTGCAAAACTGTTAGGAATTTCCTTCAAAAAAGAAAATATGTTCAATGAGAAGTTTCTAAGCAAAATTGGTTTTGGTCAGGGAAAATCCCACTTATTTTTTTAAAAAGTGGTACTAGAAAATGGTGGAGAAAAAAAGTTAGTGTATGTTGGGGTAGGAGGGAGGAGAGAATCGTTTCTCCATCCTTTTTCCAGAGTGGGGAAAAAAGTTACAATAAGAAAGCAAAAGTAGGGTTTTCTTCACAATGTCAAAATGAAACTGTGATTGGTGTCCCCCAGGGGGGCCATGCTGAGACTGCTCAATCAGGGTAAACTGCAAAGAATGGGGCAGACAATCCCCCAAACTGGTGGTTTATTCTAATACTTTGATTCACCAAGCCAGCAACAAAACAGCTTCTACAATATCTTACTGGTCCCAGAAGCCAAAACCCAGTTCTCTTAAAGCAACTCAGCCTTGGGCTCCCACCCAGACAGCCAAGTCAAATATGATGAGGATTACTTAAAATCTTGTTCATCATAAAGTTCTACCAATCCCAAAGGAGTGGACACATTACCCACCAGGTCAATGACTATTCCAGATCTTACCCAAATACATGCTTACAGCCAATTCTTATTAACTAAGCTAAGATTTATTAGAAAAGAGAAAGACTATAGGTTAAAAGGTCATTATACATAGAGATATGACTAGAGTTTTTAGGTCAGTTCATAGTAGAGATGGTGAGCTTTAGAGATACAAATAGTTCTTCCAGAATTAGTTCCATAGGTTACAGTCAATATCAGGGCAATACAGACTGGAGCTGAAGACCTCAGTCTTGCGACTCAAATTTCCCCTGATGAAACTTAAGCAGAGCTCAGATACAGGATCAGGGCCTTAGAGTTCTTTTTATAGTTCTCTGGCAGCCTCTTGATAGCAGGCATTCCTTGGGTGAAGCATTGTGACGTTGAAGTAAAACCTCCAATTTCCTATGTATACACAGGTAACTAGTTGCATTCATCAGCATAAGGTAATTATCCATTAACCAGTTCATAGACAGTTTTCTACAAACTTCAAAGAGAAATATAGACAATATTATTACATCCAAGTTCCATTACCTTTTTGACCTCTGAATCAATAGAATATAGTAAAGACAGGAACCGTCTGTTTATATGGTTAGCATCTAACAAGATATAAGTAAACACATACAATTAGTATTACCTCTAATTCTCTAACAATACAGGTTTGCATTTCAAAGCTCTAGTCAATCTAACATTACCATTCACATACTTTTCTAATATGTCTCTAAAGGCTGAATTTGGGTCATGTAGCCTGCTAGTTGCTTAACCCTTTCTGGCTCAGTGTCACAGAATATTAGATGACAATGAAATGTTTCCAGGACAATTGTAGTTGCTGTCAAAAGCCAAATTTTCAGGAATAAGTTCTTAAGAAAATGTCAACCAGCTCTGAGGCCATGATCCTATAATAAGTCCCAGGTGGACAGTGTCCTGCACCTGCACAGAGCCTCCCTGTAGTCAATGGGGCTTTGTTGCACAGCTCACTTACAATTCATTGCAGGGTCAGGCTAGAGGATCTTTTTTTAAAACATGATTAACATATGTCCAATCCAAGTATCTTTTGCTCTGTTATTTCATTGCTGTTAAATGTTGTACTGTTTCTCATTTCAGGCTTTTAAAGCAAGGATAAGCAACATCCCCACAATTAAGAAATTCCTGCAGCCTGGCAGCCAGAGGAAACCACCGCTAGATGTAAAATTACTTCCAAAAGTGTTGAGCATTTTCAACATTGGCAATGAATGATGGCTTAAAATCATGGCAGCTGTTTTACTGTAGTTGGGTATTAGCTGTAAAACTGCAAAGTGAAGTTAATTCAAAGTGTGAAAATTATAGTGACAAAATCAGTTAACACAAGCTAGAAATTGTGTATGCAAAAATTTCCACAGTAAAGCCAAATAACTGTGCTAGCACATGAAATGGTTCACTGAATTATAGGCTGCGCAGAGCAAAAGGGGTGACATTAAACCACAAGCTTTAAGAGAATAAAATAAAATAAAACATCTCATTACTCTTGTTGTCTGAGTGCAATTTATTTTATGACTGCTGGGCTTTGATTATGTAGATCAGGGCTCCCTACGCTGTCTCTTTCTGGTAGCGTACCGTGTTCTCATGAGCCATTTAGGTAGCACGATGCAGTTCAGGGAAGTCCTAGAACACCTTAACTGCAAGGCAGAGCACATTATAATTCCAGAGAAAAACAGGCAGAACAGGTAGTCCTTGGCAAAATGGGCATGAGACACATTTGGATACAGAATCAACCTTCCTGATGTTCAAGTGTATTCAGGTCCGGGGTCATGGTTCAGGCCAGTAGTTGTTTTTAACTACCTTTCCCTCTGCAGTTATTGGTTTATTGATGTGTCCCAGATGCTATCTTTTTAAAGTGAGCCTCTTTTCAGTGCTGGTTCTGTTGCTGCAACACTCATATATATATGCACGTTTTAAGCAGCTAATGTGCTTTTATTGTTGGAAGTTCAGTAGTTCTAACCTTAAGTTTCTGTTTGAGAAAAGAGGTGCTTGATTGGGTGGCAGGTGCTAGGACTCTGCCCAGAGATGTAGCACTCTTCTGCTGGCTCATACTGATGTTCGGTAAGTAATGGATGCCTTTGTACAGTTCAAAAATGAAGTAATGTGAAACAAGCTATAATACAGAAATATTAGCAAGACAATTCAATAAATAAATGTATTTGATACGAACAGTGACTATCTGCAATACCTAATCCTCTTTCAAAGTCATTTAGTGAAGAACTAGTACCATAGATTTGAAGCAGAACAAGTTCAGGGCAATAAAAATCCCATTGACAATCATTTGAGAGTTATTGTCAGATTTTAATATTTATAGAGGGTGGTCCTGTATGGCATTTCCCATTTTAGAAACTAGCTGACTTCCAACATAAAGAAAGGAGGATCAAAGGAATTCTGCAGCAGCGAGTGTGTATTAACCAGAATTCACATACCTGCCAAAAGTTTCTAATCAATAGTGACAACTAATTTCACATCCCTCTTACTGTGGCATTTGTAAGGTGCCTAATGCAGTGTGACTATTGTTTGTCAAAAGCTTGTGTTGGAAACCTCTGCCTGAATTGATGAAGAAGACTGAAGATTGAGCAAGGAGCTGTGCCCTTGTTAGCTCTCTGACAGAGCAATGGAATGAGTTCTTCTACAACAGAGCTGCTGCTCTGCTTATCCAGCAGCTCCTGAAATCATGCAGAGGGCTCTCTGGATCATTGAAGGAACCCACCTCTGTTACCATTTGTAACTACAGCAAAAGTAAACTGGTGGGGGTCATTAATCCACTCCTCCGAGTGATATGATTCCCCCTTAGCTGCCCATGACTTTAATTTGGAAATGGGTTCTAGGTATTGTTATCAGACAGCACCCCTCTGAAGAATAATACAAAAGCTCTGCACCCTGACTCTGCCTGGGGAGCAGCAGGCTCCCGTAGCAACAGCCATTGGGCCATCTCGTTTCAGCATTTGCTGAAGAGCTGCTCCTAAGTGTCCAGCTCCAATACCCCACTGCAGCTCCTAGCTTTCCTCCTGCTGCACCAGCACTCAGGCCCCCATCCCATACAGAGCACCCACCAGCCCAGATGAATACAGTATGAAAACCTAGATAGGCAGACTGAGAGACACGGGTGACAATGCAGACCTTAACAGGGAGTAAGAGAGGGGGACAGAGGCAGGAAGGTGAAAAAATGTCAAAAGCAGCTCCAGATAAAACAGCACAGATTGTAGAGCAGTTGAGGTGTCTGGTATAGGAGGAAGGAAGCAGCATGATTAGCACTGGAGGTTAAGCTGAGGGGTTTTCACCCTGTGCATGGGCTGTCTGATGAGTTTAGGATTCTGGTTTTAATGTCCAGAACCGAACCCAGATTCTGTATACCTTGCCCTACATATACACATACAGACAGCTTATATATTGATGTTATCATGTTGCCTCGCACATTGAAGGGTGGCTTTTAGCCCCAGATTGACTGTGTGTGTGCCGTAGAGACTGTTACAAAATGGATTCCTTGATTATCACAAGACACCGGGCACCGGTAGCCTCGCTTGGGTAGACAGGACCAAACAGCATTAACCATAATACAGAACTGTGTTGGGAAACTGAACCTGACAATTACAGAATATAAGCCAAGCCACCAGTGTGTTTGATCTGCCTGTTCCTCAGAATCCAGGAGCATTTCTCACTGCATTTGTCTAACTAACAGTTTGGAGCAAAGCCTCAGTATCACTCAGTTTCTCAAACCAAGCAAGGCCTGGAGTCAGAGGCCAGCAGCATGAAAAACATCGTATTCGTTTTGTTTGTTTGTTAACAAACAAATCGCTTGGAACAAAACACAGCCTCCCTCCCCCTTGCACTGCTAGGGGAGAGAGATTTGGGAGAGGAGCCAGAGTAAACTGATCTCCAATGGGACTGGGTGGGAGCCTCTCCTCCTCATAGGGTCCGAGAGAAGACTCCCCTCGGGAGGTGGAGCCGGTCACAGGCTGAAGGCAGCCACACTGTTGCTGTCTGTGTCTAAGGAGGAGTGAGCTGGGAGTCCGAGGTCAGTGCTCAGAAACGGCCAGGGAGCGGCTCTACTCCCGGGGAGCGGCAGTGGGTTACGCCGCGTGTTTGCGGGGCTGGCTCTGGATTTTCTGCAGCTGTAACGTGTGGGGCCAGTCGGGAGTTCGTGGCTCCCGGGGGGCTCCCTACGAGCAGAGGGGTCCCGAGGGCAGGAGCGCGGCGCGGGTAGGTGATGGGCGCTGGGAGGCGCAACACATGATGTTTGTGTCGCTCGCTGCGTGAGGGCACGTGTGGTGGGAGAGCAGTGGGAATCCAGCCTTTGCTCTGCGCGGGAAAGGGGCCAGGAGAGCAGGGCGAGAGTCAGCGTCCCCCGGGCCCCCTCTGAGGGGAGGCAGGGCCCCGAGTCCCTGGGGGAAGCGCTGGGCAGTGCCTGCTCCCCTGGCTGTCGCGCAGGCGGTGTTTACTGATTGCGCAGGCGAGAGATTGCTGAGGCAACACTGCCTAGCGAGGGGCGCAGGCAGCCCCTGTCATAAGGCGTTTGTGTGCGGGCTGAGCTCTGAGCCCGGCTGTGGATTAAAGCCCCAGCCCCAGGGAGGGTTTGGTGCAGAGATGCCTCCAGCAGGAGAGGGTGATTGTCTGCTCCAACCCCCCTACCCAGCAATGCGAGCGTGGGGGGGGGGGCTGGGCTGTGATCCCACTAGCGCTGGGCAGGAAATGCCTTTCCTCTCCTATAAGTAAGGTTGCCAACTCTCCAGGATTGTTCTGGAGTCTGCAGGAATTAAAGCTTATTTTTTAATTAAAGATTATGTGATGAAACCTCCAGGAATAGGGCTAATCAAAATTGGCAACCCTACCTATATGGATTCTTGAAGTTTCAAAAACTTTGCTAGTCCAAATCGGGGCAAAGTCAAACATCTCAATTTTTCGTAAACCATAAATCTGAAAGGGGGTTGGGGTGGGGAGGGGGAATCGGATCTGCTGAAATGAAACATTTTGGTTTGTTTTTATGGTAAACTTAAATTTCTAAACAGAATGTTGTTTCAAACTGAAAAATGTCAAAATGGGACACTGACAATTTCGAAACTTTTTTCCAAAATGGGAAAGACATTGAAACCGACCCTTTGCTCCAAAAAGTTTGCTTCTGCATTTACTGTTGTCTTCAGCCGTCTGTCTGGCTGTTACCTGAAGAGCCCTGTCAGACTACATAACTTGCAAAACACACAGTGATTTCATAACCTCTAGTTATAGCTGCAGAGTTCAGTAATGTAATAGCTGTAGTCCCATTATGTAACTTTTTCTTTGAACTAGTCCAGGCTCCTAATTCCATTGTTTGAACTCACCCAGGAGAGTTTTGTTCTTCCTGTGCATAGGTTTCAACACTTTGACATTGAATTAAGGGCCTGATCCTCAGAGATGCTGAGCACTCACAACTCTCACTGACGTCAACCAAGTCATAAATGCCCATTCTGTGTGTTTTGAACCTTGCTGGAGAGCATGTATATGTATTTAACACTAAGGATTTGGTCCCCTGATCCTCAAAGTTTAGGGAATTAGGCACTAAATAAATACCTTTAAGGGTTTTGGACTGTGACTTTGTCTTCAGGCCTGAGCAAAGGGCTGCATGAACTGCACTGCCCCAGAAGGCATTTTAACACCCTTATGAGACATATTTGCTTCCTTCTTTTAGAGGTTTTTAAGAACAGGTTAGATAAATACCTGTTAGGAATGGTCTAGTTATTACATAGTCCTGCCTTGAATGCAGGGAACTGAACTAGATGACCTCTCGAGGTCCTTTCCAATCCTGCACTTCTATGATTCTTGCTCCTTAAGCTAGCACTAAGACATTGTTCTATAAAAGGGACTTAGGTGTTGCAGTGCTCAGATTGTAATGTCTAACTTTTAGATGTCTAAAAAAAGCACTGGAGCAATAATGGGATCCACAAAGCCTGAGTTAGGTGCCTAGGCTTGGTATACAGACAGGCATAGGCGCTGACTCCGTGGGTGCTCCAGGGCTGAAACACCCACGGAGAAAAATTAGCAGGTGCTTAGCACCCACCAGCAGGCAAGCTCCCCGCTCACCTCCTCCTTCCCCCCCAGCGCCTCTCCCCTGCCGGCGGCCCTGCTGATCACTCCTCTCCCTCCTCCCCAGTGCGTCCCGCCTGCCGCGAATAGGTTGGCTTTGGGCGGGAGAGGGAGGAGCAGGGCTGGGGCGCACTCAGGGGAGGGGGCGGAAAGAGGTGGGGAAGGGGTGGAGTGGGGGTGGAGGCAGAGCAGGGGCAGGAAGAGGTGGGGCGGGGGCTTGGGGAAGGGGGTGTCGGGCACCCCCTGAGCAGAAGTCAGTGCCTATGGAGACAGGAGCCTAAGAATGGATACATAAGAGCCAGCATGCTAGGTAGAGCTTAAGGGCTGGTCTAAACTGAAAAGTTAGGTCAAGTCAGCTATGTCACTCAGAAGTGTGAAAAATCCACACCACTGAATGATGTAGTTAAGCCAGCCTAGCACCCGG